TGTGCCTCGGCGCCGAGCCGAGACATGCCAGGCGGCCCGCCGCCGCCCACCGAGACGAGGCCCGCCCCCTCGTCGTGCACCGCGTCGCTCGCGCCTCCGCCAAAGCGATCTCGATCACGCTTTGCGGCGACGGCGCCATCGACGCCGACTTGAGCCGCTGCTCTCGCCCAGCAGCGGGTGCTCGCCGCTGTCCACGGACGCGGCTCGTCAGGCGGCGCGGTGCCACCGGCTGCAGCGACGGCTGTCCCGGCCGTCGCGTCCTCGAGAGAGGCGAGCGAGCCGGCAGCAGAGCCCGCATGGCCCTCACCGCCACAGCCGCTCTGCTTGCTGACCTCGCTCTCGCCGCCGCCGCCTGCAGCGGCGCCTCCGCGGCTCCGAGAGGACCCGGCCCGCGGCCGCGCCTCGTCGAGCGCCTCGTCGACGCCCTCGGCGACGCCTCCTCGCGTCGCGTGCCCGTTCGTGGCGACCGCACCGCCGGCAGAGCTCGAGTGGCCCTCCACGCCACCCCGAGACTGCCTGTCGATGGTGCCTCCGCCGCCGCGCGTTGCCGCCGCTGCCTCGCAGCGGCTCTGTGCCTCGGCGCCGAGCCGAGACATGCCAGGCGGCCCGCCGCCGCCCACCGAGACGAGGCCCGCCCCCTCGTCGTGCACCGCGTCGCTCGCGCCTCCGCCAAAGCGATCTCGATCACGCTTTGCGGCGACGGCGCCATCGACGCCAACTTGCGCCGCTGCCCTCGCCCAGCAGCGGGTGCTCGCCGCTGTCCACGGACGCGGCTTGTCAGGCGGCGCGGTGCCGCCGGCTGCAGCGACGGCTGTCCCGGCCGTCGCATCCTCGAGAGAGGCGAGCGAGCCGGCAGCAGAGCCCGTATGGCCCTCACCGCCACAGCCGCTCTGCCTGCTGACTTCGCTCTCGCCGCCGCCGCCTGCAGCGGCGCCTCCGCGGCTCCGAGAGGACATGGTCCGAGGCCGCGCCTCGCCTGGCGCCTCGGCGACGCCCTCGGCGACGCCTCCTCGCGTCGCGTGCCCGTGCGTGGCGACCGCACCGCCGGCAGAGCTCGAGAGGCCCTCCACGCCACCCCGAGACTGCCCGGCGATGGTGCTTTCGTCGCCGCGCGTTGCCGCCGCTGCCTCGCAGCGGCTCTGTGCCTCGGCGCCGAGCCGAGACATGCCAGGCGGCCCGCCGCCGCCCACCGAGACGAGGCCCGCCCCCTCGTCGTGCACCGCGTCGCTCGCGCCTCCGCCAAAGCGATCTCGATCACGCTTTGCGGCGACGGCGCCATCGACGCCGACTTGAGCCGCTGCTCTCGCCCAGCAGCGGGTGCTCGCCGCTGTCCACGGACGCGGCTCGTCAGGCGGCGCGGTGCCGCCGGCTGCAGCGACGGCTGTCCCGGCCGTCGCGTCCTCGAGAGAGGCGAGCGAGCCGGCAGCAGAGCCCGCATGGCCCTCACCGCCACAGCCGCTCTGCCTGCTGACCTCGCTCTCGCCGCCGCCGCCTGCAGCGGCGCCTCCGCGGCTCCGAGAGGACCCGGCCCGCGGCCGCGCCTCGTCGAGCGCCTCGTCGACGCCCTCGGCGACGCCTCCTCGCGTCGCGTGCCCGTGCGTGGCGGCCGCACCGCCGGCAGAGCTCGAGTGGCCCTCCACGCCACCCCGAGACTGCCCGGCGATGGTGCCTCCGCCGCCGCGCGTTGCCGCCGCTGCCTCGCAGCGGCTCTGTGCCTCGGCGCCGAGCCGAGACATGCCAGGCGGCCCGCCGCAGCCCACCGAGACGAGGCCCGTCCCCTCGTCGTGCACCGCGTCGCTCGCGCCTCCGCCAAAGCGATCTCGATCACGCTTTGCGGCGACGGCGCCATCGACGCCAACTTGCGCCGCTGCTCTCGCCCAGCAGCGGGTGCTCGCCGCTGTCCACGGACGCGGCTTGTCAGGCGGCGCGGTGCCGCCGGCTGCAGCGACGGCTGTCCCGGCCGTCGCGTCCTCGAGAGAGGCGAGCGAGCCGGCAGCAGAGCCCGCATGGCCCTCACCGCCACAGCCGCTCTGCCTGCTGACCTCGCTCTCGCCGCCGCCGCCTGCCGCGGCGCCTCCGCGGCTCCGAGAGGACCCGGCCCGCGGCCGCGCCTCGTCGAGCGCCTCGTCGACGCCCTCGGCGACGCCTCCTCGCGTCGCGTGCCCGTGCGTGGCGACCGCACCGCCGGCAGAGCTCGAGTGGCCCTCCACGCCACCCCGAAACTGCCCGGCGATGGTGCCTCCGCCGCCGCGCGTTGCCGCCGCTGCCTCGCAGCGGCTCTGTGCCTCGGCGCCGAGCCGAGACATGCCAGGCGGCCCGCCGCCGCCCACCGAGACGAGGCCCGTCCCCTCGTCGTGCACCGCGTCGCTCGCGCCTCCGCCAAAGCGATCTCGGTCACGCTTTGCGGCGACGGCGCCATCGACGCCAACTTGCGCCGCTGCTCTCGCCCAGCAGCGGGTGCTCGCCGCTGTCCACGGACGCGGCTCGTCAGGCGGCGCGGTGCCGCCGGCTGCAGCGACGGCTGTCCCGGCCGTCGCGTCCTCGAGAGAGGCGAGCGAGCCGGCAGCAGAGCCCGCATGGCCCTCACCGCCACAGCCGCTCTGCCTGCTGACCTCGCTCTCGCCGCCGCCGCCTGCAGCGGCGCCTCCGCGGCTCCGAGAGGACCCGGCCCGCTGCCGTGCCTCGCCTAGCGCCTCGTCGACGCCCTCGGCGACGCCTCCTCGCGTCGCGTGCCCGTTCGTGGCGACCGCACCGCCGGCAGAGCTCGAGTGGCCCTCCACGCCACCCCGAAACTGCCCGGCGATGGTGCCTCCGCCGCCGCGCGTTGCCGCCGCTGCCTCGCAGCGGCTCTGTGCCTCGGCGCCGAGCCGAGACATGCCAGGCGGCCCGCCGCCGCCCACCGAGACGAGGCCCGCCCCCTCGTCGTGCACCGCGTCGCTCGCGCCTCCGCCAAAGCGATCTCGGTCACGCTTTGCGGCGACGGCGCCATCGACGCCAACTTGCGCCGCTGCTCTCGCCCAGCAGCGGGTGCTCGCCGCTGTCCACAGGCGCGGCTTGTCAGGCGGCGCGGTGCCGCCGGCTGCAGCGACGGCTGTCCCGGCCGTCGCGTCCTCGAGAGAGGCGAGCGAGCCGGCAGCAGAGCCCGCATGGCCCTCACCGCCACAGCCGCTCTGCCTGCTGACTTCGCTCTCGCCGCCGCCGCCTGCAGCGGCGCCTCCGCGGCTCCGAGAGGACCCGGCCCGCGGCCGTGCCTCGTCGAGCGCCTCGTCGACGCCCTCGGCGACGCCTCCTCGCGTCGCGTGCCCGTGAGCGGCGACCGCACCGCCGGCAGAGCTTGAGCGGCCCTCCACGCCACCCCGAGACTGCCCGGCGATGGTGCCTCCGCCGCCGCGCGCTGCCGCCGCTGCCTCGCAGCGGCTCTGTGCCTCGGCGCCGAGCCGAGACATGCCAGGCGGCCCGCCGCCGCCCACCGAGACGAGGCCCGCCCCCTCGTCGTGCACCGCGTCGCTCGCGCCTCCGCCAAAGCGATCTCGATCACGCTTTGCGGCGACGGCGCCATCGACGCCGACTTGAGCCGCTGCTCTCGCCCAGCAGCGGGTGCTCGCCGCTGTCCACAGGCGCGGCTTGTCAGGCGGCGCGGTGCCGCCGGCTGCAGCGACGGCTGTCCCGGCCGTCGCGTCCTCGAGAGAGGCGAGCGAGCCGGCAGCCGAGCCCGCATGGCCCTCACCGCCACAGCCGCTCTGCCTGCTGACCTCGCTCTCGCCGCCGCCGCCTGCAGCGGCGCCTCCGCGGCTCCGAGAGGACCCGGCCCGCGGCCGCGCCTCGTCGAGCGCCTCCTCGACGCCCTCGGCGACGCCTCCTCGCGTCGCGTGCCCGTGAGCGGCGGCCGCCCCGCCGGCAGAGCTCGAGTGGCCCTCCACGCCACCCCGAGACTGCCCGGCGATGGTGCTTTCGCCGCCGTGCCTTGCCGCCGCTGCATCGCAGCGGCTCTGTGCCTCGGCGCCGCGCCGAGACATGCCAGGCGGCGTGATGCCGCCCCAGCAAATCCTGTCGTCCGCAGCGTCAAGACTAACTTGAGCAAGTATTGGCTCTGCCTCCACATCGCAGTCGCTCCAACCTCTGCCAGCTCCCTTGACGCTGCTCCGTGCTGTAGCGATCTCCTTGAGAGATCCGCTAAGCCCATGCGTTGCGGCCTCTTTACCGTCAGCGTGTTCCAGCCTACCAGAATCACGTATCGGAACCACTTCCCGACGACGAATATGGTTGACGCTCGAACACGTTGCTGTTGCTTCTGGAGGTGGCCTTCCACCCCCGTGCCAACCCCTTCCAACCCCAACAAAACACCGACAGACGAGAGAAGAGGCCACAAAACAGACAAGCAGAATGGCAAGAGAGAGACGCTCTGCAGGCGAGCCCACGGGCCTCTTGGGCCCTCGCGTCTCTCTCTCTCGATTCGTTACACCGATTCGACCATCATGCGGCGGGCCGATTTCGACCCATCACAAATGTGGGAAGCCATTAACCTCCCTTGGCTTCCCACACAAACCCCCCTTCATGGGGGGAGCAGCAAATGAGGTAGTCTCTGCGAAATCACTGTCCCAGTGAATTCGCCCTAGACGCCTCCGTGTGGACTCGCAGCTCCGGCTGGATGTCGGCGACCTAAAGCTCGGCGGTCGTCGCTTCGCGCCGGCCGACTCCCTGAAACGCGGGAGACGAGAGTCGGTTGTGTCTTGTGGGACCTGCGGAGGCTGCGGTGTCCCACGAAACCTCACTATGGTCCTATATCGTCTCTATTGGACTTGCGTCTGGGCGGCACGCTTTGCTGTGCCGTCCTGTGTGCGTATAAGACTGCGCGACAGCCGACACTCTCTATGGAGTCACTGTACGTAAACTCTTTAATGGCCTAAAGCCGTATCTGATTCTGTGTCATCTGTCACATTCCTCCACCACAAGCACAACACATGATAATAGGAAAATGAATGGAGAGCAGCTCCACCGTGTCACGACTCACGCGGAGTAGTCTGGAAGCGGAGGTTGACGGCCCTCCCGGGGACGGCGGATATCGCGCCCAGAACTCGCTCGAGCGACGCCGAGGCGAGGTCCACGTTGTTGACGGCGAGAAGCACGTCGCCCGGACGCACGCCCGCCCGCTCGGCGTTCGAGCCTTCGCCAACCTCCGCGACGCAGACCCCTTGGTCGCGCGCCCCCTCCTCGCCGACCGGCTCGATCACGAGCCCGAGCGGCTTCTGCACGCTGACCAGGCGCTGGCCGGCGCCGTCCGAGTACGTGAGGCCGGAGCTGAGCTGGCACGCCGCGCCGCCGCTGCGAGCGCGCGAGCTGCGAGCAGAGCGCGGCCTCGGCGGCAGCGGATCGGCCGAGAGAGCGTCCGACACGATGCGCAAGTGCGCGCGCAACGCCCTCGCCGCGCCCTCTCCCATGTCGCGCGGCACGCCCACGTTGAGGGAGAGGGCAGCCAGCGCCGCGGCGGCGTCCGCGGCGGCGGCGCTCCCGTGCGCGCTCCGCAGCGCGCGAGCCGCCGCCTCCGCCTCCGAGCGGACCTGAGACGTTCCGCCGCCCTGGCAGCGGAGCAGCAGCCACGCGGCGGAGCGGAGAGCGAACTCGACGGCATCGCCGCCAGCCCCTTCGGCCGCAGCACCGCCGCCGGCAGCGCAGTCGGGCAGCCATGCGCAACGCCGCGCAAACGCGGCGACAAGCCCCGGCTGCCCGGCCAGCCTGCCCGCCGCCTCGCGCCGCTCCTCCGCCGTCGCCGCCGCCGCCCACGCGTCGCACGCCTCGGCGGTGATGCCGTCGATGGCCGCCGCCGCCGCCGCGTCGACCCGCAGCGACGGGACTCCGTACCGCGGCGTCGCGTCCGCCTTCGGCGCAGCGCAAGTCTGTTCGAGGCTCTCGGCTGTGTCTCGGGTGCGTCTCGGCTGTGTCTCGCCTCGGCGTAGCGCAAATTTGTTCGCGCGAGGGTTGTCGCGTCCGAGCGGAGGGCCGCAAAGGCGGCGTGACGGCGTGTGGCGTGCCGCAAGTACGCCGCCGCGCGGCCGAAGGGGACGCCTGCGCGCTCGAGCGCGTCCTCGCCGAAGAAGTACGGGACGGCCGCTTCGGTGCGCTCGAGGAAGGGGAGGAGCATCAGGTCTGCGACGCTCGGGCGGGGCCCGTCCAGCCACGGGCCGCCCTCGGCGAGCATGCCGTCCAGGTCGGCGAGCGCCGAAGCGAGGGGCTGCAGCGCGACGAGGGCCGAGCTCTGCGCGCCGGCGCACGCTTCGTACGACCGGCGGGCGACGCGCAGCCGCCCAAACACGGACGCCTCGCCCTCGCAAGCGCGCGCGCGCACGGCGTCGCTGCCCGCCGGGTAGCGCTCCGGGTACCTGCGGCGCAGCTCGTCGCAGATTCGCTCGACGGACTGCACCGCCGGCCCAAAGCCAGAGGCGGCCCGGAACTGTACTCCCGGCACCACCCCCTCTGGCCCGACCAAACGCGTGTATTCGGCGTCCTTTGTCTCGCCCTCGAGCATGTACCGCCGAAGAGGCACCGTCTTCACCTCATACGGCACCTCCATCTCCTCCAGCACCAGCCAGGTGATCTCGCAAAAGGGGCACCAGCCGGCGCTGTCGCGCCAGAAGATGACCTCAGGAGCGCCGCCGCCAAAGAGGCGCTGCCGGGCCTCAAAGAGGCGGTCGGCGGGCGGCCCGGCCGCCGCTCGGATCTGACTCCACGGCGGGAGCGCGAATGCGTGCCCGGGCCGGCCGGCCGCGAGGAAGGTCGCGCAGCGGGCAAGACGCATTTCCGGAGAAAGGAGTGCCTTCAGCGAGCGCGCGCAGCTCTGTGTCTTGATTTGCCAAACCTACGGCGCGGACTCTCTGCGACGGGACCGGCCCCAGCTTCGGCCTGTGAGTCGTGATTTCTTG